CACCTTAGAATCACAGAATCATTTAGGTTGGAAAAGACCTTTAAGATCATGGAGTCCAACCATTAACTTAACACTGCCAAGTCCACCACTGAACCATGTCCCTAAGCACCACATCTACATCTATTAGGTCTCTTAAGAACCTCCAGGGATGGTGACTCAACCACCTCCCTGGGCAGCCCCTTCCAATGCCTGACAACCTTTTTGGTGAAGAAATTTTTTCTAACATACAATCTAAACCTCCCCTGGTGCAACCTGAGGCCATTTCCTCATGTCCTGTTGCTTGTCACTTGGGAGATGAGAACAACACCCACCTCTCTACAGCCTTTTTTTAGGCAGTTGTAGAGAGCGATAAAGTCTCCCCTGACCCTCCTTTTCTCCAGGGTAAACACTCCCAGTTCCCTCAGCCACTCCTTACATGACTTGTGCTCCAGACCCTTCAGCAGCTCCGTTGACCTTCTCTGGACACGCTCCAGCACCTCAATGTCTTTCTTGTAGTGAGAGGCCCAAAACTGAACACAGTGTTTGAGGTGCGACCCTACCAGTACAGAGGGACAATCACTGCCCTGGTCCTGCTGGCCACACTGTTTCTGATGCGGGCCAGGATGCCATCGGCCTTCTTGGCCACCTGGGCACACTGCTGGCTCATGTTCAGCCAGCTGTCAACCAACGGGTCCTTTTCTGCAGTGTGCTTTCTTGCTGTAAAGGTCCTCTTAGTTATGTGATAAAATAATTTTCTACTAATATAAGTGAATTGTCTGAAGTCCTAGTTGGACTCCCCAAAGTATTACAAAAAATTAATATTATCCCCTTTAAGAAACCGCATGGTCAAATCAATGTGCCTCTACTGCATTTGACTACTTTTTGTACATGTTCATTTTTCCAGCTAAAATTGGTCCACCCGTGGTAAGTCTATCTTCTTCTGAGAAATCTATTTCAATCATTCTGACTGCTCCTGAGAAGTGGAAGAGAAGTCCTGAGGGAGAATCCATATCTCTGCTTCAAGTGTATCCTGGCCTGCAATACAACGTGTCTGTCCACAACAAAAAAACAAAGAAGCGGGTAAGCTTTGACAAGGCTGTAGAACTGTACCAGTTAAATCTGTGAGTACTGAAATGCACTTTGTCCATAACAGCAAGGATCGAAATAGGATTCATAGCCTTATAGGGCCTGTAGAATCATTCGGGTTAGAACAGGGCTCAGGAGGTCTGTAGTCCAAAGTCCTGTTAAAATCAAGATCAGCTGTGAGTTCAGACTAGGTCATTCAGGGTTTGTCCCGTTGCATCCTGAAAACCTCCAAGGATGGAGACTGCACAACCTGTTCCACTGCTTGACTTTCCTCTTGGGGAAAAAGTGTTTCGTTATAGCCAACCTGAACGTCCCTTTCGGAACATATGTCCATTGTCTCTCATCCTCCCACCATTCAGCACTGTGAAGAGCCTGGCTCCATCTTCTTGATGACCTACCAGGGTCATCCTGGGGGCTGCTGTTAGGTCCTCCTGAAGCCATCCCTTCTTACCCAGCTGGAACAAACCAGTCCTTCAGCTTCCCATCACAGGGCACATACTCCAGCCCCAACCATCTTGGTGATCCTCTACTAAATCCACTTCAGTTTGTCAGTCTCCCCTGTATTTGGGGGAACAAACCTGGACACGGTGTTCTAGATGCAGTCTGATGAGCGCTGAGTGGAAGGGGATAATCCCTCCCCTCCATCTGCTCCCTCTTCTGGTAACACAGCCCAGGATGCTGTTGGCTCACATTCAGCTTGCAGCCTGTCCCCAGTCCTCTTCAGCAGAGCTGCTCCACAGCCAGTCAGTCTACTGGCAATACTCACAACACATCGTGACAAATTGCATCCTTTGTCACCACATCAGAACATTTTTGTTTGTCCGTCTCCGCAGATTTGCATTTCATTATCAAGTTGTAGTTCGCAGCATAAACACAGTAGATGAGGAAGACTTCAACACTCATCGTTCTGTTCCTGTCCTCCAGACACAATCTCTGAATTTCCTGAAAAGCAACAGGAACTTTAGACCAAAAAGGTCACATTTGTCACAGGGAATATTAAACTGACAAGGTTAGCAATTGGAGGTATACAAAACGTTTTTTTTGTTTGGGGTTTTGTTATTCTTTTCAATAAAAATGCTGGACATAGAGCAATTACTTTACCTTGGATTCCAAGGTCTAAATAACACCCATTATTCTAAGGCTTCTGTCTTTGCCTGAATATCCCAATTTGAAAGATCTTATGGAACCCTAGCTTGTACCTTTCATTGGCCTTGGTGTCAGGACAGGACTGGAGTGATGCTTTAGCACTGTTGCAACATCAGCATGAAAATGTGAGCTAGTGATAGTACACGGTCCTACTTCATCTAAAATATGAAATTGTTGAGTAGTGATAGAACAATGATTGGATGGAAGATAAAATATTCGGAGAGGACATGCCCTAATTCAGGAAAAAAAGGATGCAGCTGGCAGTTCTGACAGTGTCATTATTCTTTCCAGAACATTTGTGTGCTTGTGACAACTTCTGTACATAAGATCTTTACCTTTCGCTAAGTGGGGAGTTAAAGGGGTAAAAAATTCCTTTTTTATGTCTTCCAGTGGTGGTTTTCCGTCAGCAACAACACTTTGGTCGTGCCCTGGTTAGAACCTGGAACAGCTTATTGTGTCAGTGCACAGATATATGTCACCACACCATTTTTGCAAAGCATGTTTTCTAAAGAACAATGCATTGCTACTTTGAAAGGTATGTGTAAGTGGGCAAATTAAAAAAAGAAGATGCAAGTTCAAAAAAACCACAGTGATTGAGCTTCTCCATTCTGAGAGCAAAAAGCTGCCTTTGTTTTTCCCTTCTCTGTGTATGTGCACTGATGAAAAAAATCTTTGCCTTTAACAAAACATAGCTGGGGTCTACTGACTGGAAGGTACGACAGCAGCTCTGGAGGAAAGGATCTGCATTCTTTGGGTCTTGGTGAATGGCAAATATTTTTTTTCTCCTGGAATGAGGTCTGGCTGTGGCAGAGCTGGATCAGTCTCAGGGGCCAGAGGTTAGCAACAGAAGAACCTGAGGGAGGAATTCATACTTCTTTCTGGAGTTTAATTTATAATTTAGATAATAATAATAATTTGTCCTGTTGCTCAAATGTAATTTTCTAAAATTTACTGCAAATTCCTTGTTTATGCAAAACACATCCTTTATCCAAAAAAGCAGTGTGGTGAATGCATATATGTTAAGAAGTTGCTCAGTACAATGAAAACTTTTGTTTTGTTAACAGATAAAACAGCAGAGGAGACTGTAACAATCGTATTTGGATGTGTTCTGCCTACCATGTTTGCTGTCCTTTTTATTTCAATGACATGCTATTGTGTGCACAGGTATATTCACGTCATCAAACAGAAACATCCAACAAACCTGGTAAGTGTTTTCTGTTGCAGGAGGTTGCTTCCAACCTTGGCACTCACGGGAGAGCTGTGCATTTTCCAGGGCTCCAAGTCAGCTGGGTGGAAACCATGGCTAGCTGCAAAGTTCATGTTGCCACTCAGATCAAGAAAAGAACATCACATTGAGGGTGATTAAATGCAAGAAAAAGAGCTAACAAGGATCAGAACAGAGCTGTTGGTTTGGGAGGAGTCGTTGCCATAAGTAACATCAGAGGTGGACTGGGGCAAGTTCTGTTAGGAAGTCAGCACTCCCTAAATGGATATGGAATGAAGCACAGTAGAGATTCAGCGGACAAAAATTATTAATTGATTGAAATCAGAAACAAGGAGAGAAGATAATTAAGCGGTGCAGAAACCCCATTATCTTTTCTTGGACTGTTAGTTGGTATTACCACATTTTACCATTTAATTGTGATTATGAAGTATTTAGCACGTGTGCATCATACAGATAATGTAATCTGGATTTCAAGAATACTTTCAAATACTGCACCATTTCCTAACACCCAGAAATGTACTAAGAAATAGATTCTGTCATTTACACAACCCAAATACACTTTATGTAAAAATGTTTGCAAGTTTCTTAGGGCTGCAGATGCCGTTAATTTTTAGAGAAAGAACACATAAAGTCTAAGAAACACTTTCAGTTTCCAGCTCTTGAGCCAAGCAGAGCTTTCTCACAGTTACCTCTAAACAAGTTGCTCAAGCATAAACATGTAATTACGATAAGGAATTAGTACTTTGATGTTAATCCAATCCGCATGACACCGTGGGATGGGGGGTATAAGGGAGTTGGTTTCAACATATTGATCTCTCTGAAGAAATCTAGAGCAATACAGAGGTGATAGGAGAAATGTTCCACAGCAGGGCATGGTAAGGGGAAATAGTTGTGGATGCCCCATCCCTG